GTCTTTGGAAGTGATTTCCTACTTCCATTTTTAACTTGTTAAGAAATCCTTGCAGTTTTAGTGGAAAAAATAGTCAATATTAGTACTATGTCATGTGCAGTTAGTAAGCAACATATGCCTTAGTCAGAAGCTGTCATATAGGTTGAGTGAGGAGTGCAATATAATTGCTGTTGGGAGTTTCAATACCCAGTCCTGACAAATGGTCCTGCTTGCCTTTTTACTTCCTTGTAATAAGTTGTATTTCCTCTCATGTGCCCAGTTATAAGTTGCCTTTCTGTCTGTGGTCTTTGCATGGAAGCCTCTCGTAATCTCTGTAATCTGCAAACTATATTGATGTTATCACGCATTTTACATATGGGAAAACAAGAACAGAAGGGTGAAATACTTGCCTGAGGCCACAAAATGAGTAATTTCCAGAGATGAAGTTTCCAGCTCACTGCTGGGGCTAAGGAACTTTTGCATTAGATCTATATATGCCAGGTTCTCTCTTTCCTAAACCAAGAAAACACTGTGTGGTTTTGCAGAGGAGGCCCACTGGAGAAGAACAAGAAGCAATCACTTCACATGTAGAGTGCCAAAAAGAGTTCTCCATAGTAACAGTGTGACAACAAATACACAAAAATCATGAATTGTAAAACAGAAGTTACCAGTGCATTTGTGTAAGTTAATTTATGTTCTGTCTTTGACCTTCAGGCAAAAGTAGACAATGAAATCCTTGATTACAAGGATTTAGCAGCCATTCCCAAAGTCAAGGCCATTTATGACATTGAACGTCCAGACCTAATTACTTATGAGCCATTCTACACTTCCGCCTACGAGGACAGACAGGAGAGACAGAGTCTTGGAGAGGTAATGAACCAACAAGCAACTCATTCTGCTATACGCTTTGTTCAAAGCCTGCTTCGCTTCTCTCCTCTTTTGAAACAGTTTCTAATTGACACTCTGTGGTATTGTTGCTGCTGCTGTTCAGAGTGCTTTTTGTCTGTTTGATCTGGGTTTAATGGAACAATCATGATGGTGCCTCATGTGAAACTGCACAATTAAACACGCGATTAAACACCTACATTAACACCAGCCACTGGCAGAGGAATGGCAGGGGGGAGGCTTGCAGGCTTGCTGTATATGCATTCTCATATTTCACATGGATATCCTGGTCTTTGGGTATGGCAAACTCCAGAACATGAGGCAAAAGCTGACTGTGCTATATGGCACCGATATTCACAACAGAATACGAGGAATACCATGAGGTTCTGTGTCAGTAAAAGGATTAAGAAGAGCGGGATGCTTTCTCTCGCACGTATTGAAGGGAATCGTATTTCCAGAGCACTTTGCCAGGCATACTGGATGAAGTCTGAACTAGGTCAGGATGAAGTGCTCTTCCACTTGGGAAAGCAGGTTGGTTGCATTATAGCTGCCTCACATTTTAAACTGATGACGTTTGCTAAGGATTCTTGTATCTTGCAAGGACAGAAAAAAACCATCTAATTTATTCTCTTAAATTTGTATTTAAAGATATCTTTCAGGTTGTAGAGTCCCCCAGTTTTCTCAGGTGAACTTCTATAGCAGCAGCTACTATTTACATTGTTCCCATGCAGATCATGAAGCAGGTTTTGTCATGTAATGTCATCTGACTGTAAATCAGACTTGCAGAATGCAAATTTAAATGGGCATGGAAATGGATTTACTTCCTTGCAATCTCAGGGATTTTACTGACTGTAGCTGAACTGAGTATGAAGATGAGCTGTGGAAACAAAGTACAGGAAATCGTTCAGGCATCAGTGGTCTGGAGATGCCCGTCAGTGACTGATAATCTGCTCTCTTAGCAACAGGTTAGAGCTGTCTTGGTTTTCCTACTTTGTTCTTTAATGATTTATAGGGTTATTCTTTTAAATTGTAACATGAGTTGGAAATTCAGGAGACTCTTCAGCTCAGGAATAAGATAGGAGATTAACAGGACAGAATACTACAGAATCTCCCTCCTCAGATTTGTGTTGGTCATGAATCCAGCTGACATCTGGTTCAAAACCACTGTGAGAGATGCATTGGTGAACTCTGACCAGTTGCAACGGGCCAGACTCATTCTACAAAACCCTCTACAAATGCAAGTCTCTTGTTTAGCCACAGAGGAGGGACTAATCTCACCCAGAGAAGGTGAAATATTTGCTAATGCTTAGGGGGAAGCTTCTCACTGACAAAGCAGTGTGTTGGAAGCTGATAAAGCACTACCATGGAAACTGTCTGGTGTTACACTTGTTCTGGGGATAAACAAAGCCTTTGGGGTTTTCTTACCCCATATTTTCATCAACACTAAATCCAATTAATTTCTAGTGACTACAGAACTTTGTTCTGGAAGCAGAAGGGCTCTCACCTCCTTTTCAGACGATCTGGGTTTTCCACTCAAAGCTAATGTTGACTTCTGTCACCTTGGGCAAGTTACCTCACCTCTTTGTACCTGTTTCTCTTCCCTTCCCTTGCTGTAATGAGAACACAAGCCCATCACGGTGGAGTGATCTCTTACTCTTGTGTTTGTGTTGTGGTAATCAAGTGACACCTCAACCTTGGTACATCACCGTCATCTTTAAAAAGCAAAGGAGGTGACGTGTTTAGTCATGGCAGTGATTTGCAGACTTTAAGTGATTTAACCTGCATTCTCTTTGCAAAGTTTGTGTGTGTGGTGGTGTTAAATAAAAAGGGACCCTGAGTTTAAGCTTTTATAGTAGAAATGCTCTCCACCATGATTTAAAGAAAAAAAAAATTGCCAAACTCCACTAAGAAAGATTTCTGGATGTACATGGGAAATGTTAATACAGTAGTGGAGGCAAACTTAATTACAGAGAATGGGCTACAAGAAAATTATATACTTTTGAAAGTGAGAAAACACAGCATGAGACTTTCTTCTTTATTTCAGTGGAAGGGAAATGCTTTGAAAAGTTTCTCGTGCATACTCTCTCTTGTTCAGATAAATCCCAGTCTTGTTTTTCTGGAAGTCTGTGATGAAGAATGTTTTCACATAGCACCATCTAGTGGGACCAGGCATTTTAGTTACAGACCCTCCAGCAGTTAATGCAGAACAGAAAGAGAGATCTGGAAGAGGTGGTTTAGATTCTAACATAAAAGAGGTGAAGAGATATGAAATGAGATCTGTAAATAAATTTTCTGCTACTGAGGCTGACCCTTAATGTAGTGATAACATTTCCAGAGACTGTCAGTTACTCAGGTTCTTCATGTCCTGTATCTTCTGCCCTGCTAGCAGCAACCTGATAAGCACTGAAATCATCTTTTCTCAGCTCTTTTTGCTCCATAAGTATTGAGAAAAGCAGTATTTTACCTGCATGTCCTTTATTTCTAGTATTCTGTTGAAAGCATTGACAACTGCCTGTAACAGCTTTCAGTGAACAAGCTGTCATAAAATGAGAAAAGTTTTTCTTCTAATCTGACAGATGCTTCAAGATGGAGCAGGTATCCTGCTTGGTAGTTCAATAAAAAGAGAGTTAAAAGGAGGTCAGTGCAAAATGCTGGAACTTGGGTTATAAAATGACACCTGTAAAATGACCTGTATGACTTTAGGTATTAGAGCAGCCCTTTAGATACCAAGGTGATAGAGCATTGAGCATTGTTGCAATGCTGGAAGTTGTACTCTAAATTTGGTCAGAACAGGCTCACTACCCAGACTTTTTTTTTTTTTTTTTTTTTAATCTGAAGTCGATACTCTGTATTTCCACCATTCTGGAACTGAGCTGTTTCTTCCCACTTGACTGCACAGCGTATTTCAAACTGACTAGTGCAGATTTCCGTGACAGACGGAAATTTTAAAGATTTTAAAAGACCTCATAAACCCTGAAGAACCAAGCACTCCTTGGCAGACTCGGAGCTGAGATATGGCAGTCTTCCTGTACATGATAAAACTGTAAGCTGGCTGCAGAGTGTGATTCCATTTCCAAAAAGCAACTGGATGATGTCAGATAGTGATGGAGTAAAAATACGTGAAAGGTTGGTCATGAATTCAGCACGTTACTTTCTGGGATGCCTTCCCAGTCTTTCATTACTACGACTGCCTTTTACAGTAGTTGTTACCCTAGCACCTAGGCAACCACAGCAGGTTATGGAAATTGGTTTATTTACAGTAACACCTAAATTACTAACAGAAAAATGTGGAAACAGACATCACAACATGTGTGGTTTTTATTCATATTGAAAGTTTTAGATTAGCTGTCAGTTGTTTTTGTGGAAAGTTATGCTACAAAGTACTGTGTGCGATATATTTCATGTGGAGCAAGGTTTTTATGGCTGCTGTTAGATCTATAATGAAATGGTGGTTTGCTGTCTAGAACTCGGGCAGTTATAATGATTAGGAAAACAAGAATGTTAAAGACATTCCAGATTTTGACGGAAAGTGATGAAAGTGGTCTTTAAAAAGTTTTATGAAACTTGCTGAAAAGGAGATGTTCTGTACCCAGATAAAAAAAGTCACTCCTTTGTTTGGGTATTTTGTGTTCATGGTGTCACCAGTTCTATGTGATTTAGTGATCTCTCAAAGCAAAATGTATAGCTGGATATTTATTACCAGAAATTCTGCACACATTTTACACTATTGCTGTTGTACATTGTTGTAATAGTTAGACCAGAGTCAGAAGTTTTGCTTCTGAGACATTATCTTAATAGCTGTATCATTCTATAATAATTGTGCTCTTATTTCAAACCATAATCTCTTGCCCAGTTTAGTATGGCAATTAAATAATATTGCAATTCTGTCCATAAAGAAAATAATTAAATCCTGATCTCCCAGCTTCAAACTGTCTTGCAATTAAAGGGTACATAACTGGTAATTATATATAGCCTTTATTCTTGTTTGTACCATCAATGCATGCATAATTTTATGCTTAATTTCTAAAAGTATTTCTTGCCTCAGTTTCCCTGTGTCTGTAATACAAACTTTTCATAATGTGCATATTTCTGCCCACTGGCCTTTGCACAGTTCTTTCAGTATACACTCTTGTACAAAATTCCTGTCTGTTCTTACGTAACCATGGAAGAACACAGAGATTTAAAGGAGATCATATCAAAGAAATGTTGATGACAGCTACGTACTCTTTTGCATGGGTATGAAATATAAGGCCTTGGGGAGAAGCACGTTTTTGCCGGAGTATGTGTGATGGAGGAAATTCATGCTTCATCCTGGAAGTTATTCTGTATTTCTGATGCAACGCAAAGCTCTGAGTTGAGATTATTTACTTTTGATTTCCACTTTAAAGATTTCTTCTTAACAGGCATGCTTATAAAATTAATAACCCTTTCTGATTTTGATCTTTACAGCTATGTTTTAATTACCACAATGGTTAGATGGCTGAGAGATGATGTGCATGATATTTGACTGAATTAATCACACTTATAAAGATTTTCCCAGAAGCTTTAATTGCTTCAATGATTTATGGATGAGTTCCTGAGCAATGAGGAAAAAGCAAGTTCCAGTGCTGCAATGATGGCCTTAGTAATTTCTGCATTGCCATTTTATGTCGCCATATATCCATGTATCTGCAGCAATGTTTAGATTACCATTTTTTGGCCCAGTACATGCAATGATGTTTCAGTAACCTTATTTTTATGTCTTTGCAGTCTCCAAGAACGTTATCACCAACCCCTTCTGCAGAAGTAAGTTTGGTGGAACCTTTGAGGACTGTATCTTACTGTGATTAGAATTACTTCAGCAAATGCAGGTGTTGGGTTTGTTATCAGTCTGATCCATCTCTGTTTGCCACATAGACACAGCTTATCTGAATATTGAAATTTAACAATAATTAACTCTAAAAAGAAAACATTGTTACATTAACAGATTGTACAAAAAAAGAAGTTACCCCTCCTACCCATTTGTTGTCTGTAAAGCAGAGTCATCTCTCCAGCAGAGGTCACTTCTTGTACATTCATCCTGTGGCACAGACAGACTCAGATCTTAGGAGCTGGATGATTTACATGAGCTAAAATGAGGCTTTAAGCATCTAAATAATAAGCCATGTTTACTACTAAAACATTTGCAGTTTTGTCTTGAAGGAAACATAGCTGTGGTTTGGTTTTGCTTTTCCCTGGGATATAATTTGAACATCGCAGTAACATGAAACATTTGGGAAGTCATTTGTCAGGATATTTTTTCCCAGGAAATTAAGTAAGTTGAATTTTGCTATACAAGAATGTGTCATGTTTTCAGATACAAGGGGAATCTAATTGGGATACTAAATACCTTTAGATGTAGCTAGTTAAGACATATGGTAAATTAAGCCACAGAGAGCACTGTGCTGCAGCTCTTGAATTCTTGCTGGTCTCCAGGTTAGCTAGCTGAAGGCTAGCTCATGTGTCTTGTGCAGTACGCTGCAGGACAGATATACTCTGAATGCAGCTTCCCTTATGGAGTCACAGGAATATTGGCAAATCTAGGATTATATAGAATTTAATAGAAATTACAGGTGGAGTGGGAACCTTCTGAGACTGAACTCTGACACAGACTATAAAAATGGATTGGAATCTTTGGAACAGATCATTAGAGAACAGTAATAATGAAGTAGGTTGAAAGCTGAAGGGATATTGTTATTTCAGTAGCTTCTGCTGATGTCTTCAAGTCCATGAAAGTTAAGTGCTTCTAAAAATGTGTGATGTGCATTTACATTTATTAGTGAATGCTTCTATTCTGCAGGGTTATCAAGATGTTCGGGATCGCATGATTCACAGGTCTACTAGTCAGGGCTCCATTAATTCTCCAGTGTACAGTCGTCATAGCTACACACCCACCATGTCACGTTCCCCTCAGCATTTCCACAGACCCGGTAAGGGCAACTGCATTAGAAGTATATGTAAAACTGGTTTTTGTTTATTAAGTCACTTAGTGGTGCAGCAAAGCACTTGTTTCTCTTAGCAGTGAAAACTGAGCATTAAAAAGTGTTGTGTATTTTAATATCTCCTTTTCTGCCTTTTTTTTTTTTTTTTTGTTCTTGATTGATGCAGTCTTTTGCACTAGGCTGATGAGTGTTTCTTACATTATAAATATGGATTTTCTGGTTTTGTTTTTGATTAATTATTTTTTAAATCTTTATATGTTTGTGAAAGCAAGCAAAAATTTGCAGCAGTGAATCAAAAACTTCATTCTGGAATTTGAGAAAAGTATCACATATTAGAAACAGAAGTTATGGCTTGACTGTACAGAAAACAGTAATGTAGGATTCCTTCCTCCTGAAAAGTAATTCATTTAAAACCTGGTGCGGCCATGGAATCTCAGATTCAGTAGCAAAACCCCCAGATATTCCAAATTGATATTCATTTTTTAAAACATAGACTCATGGTTTGCAAGATAGATTTCTTAATTAAAGCAATAGGCAATTGCCTGGGAACATTTGAAAAACACAAACTTCATTTGCTGGTGTAGCTGTGATGTACAATATAGAAAATTTACAGGTCATTCAGGTTCCCAGTGTGTTCAAAATTGCTGGTCATGTATATAAAAGCAAGATATGAAAATTAACTGTTCATCCACACCCAAATTGCAAAAAAATATATCTCTAAATGCCATTCATTGAATACTTTTCAAGACTGATTTTATTGTTTGTGGCAATGAATTACATCTTTGTGGTGTGTTTTTAAATTGTGATACAGTCATGCAGTTCTATCTTCCTTGGTGATTACAGCTGAACAGTTGGGATGCCAAAAGCCCATATGCAATAGGAGCTGCATTTTTAAAATTAAAGATTTATAATAGAGCCACCACTGTGGAACTTGAATGCTGTAGCCATTTCCTAGTGGGGGTGTGCTGAAAGCAGCTAATTGTGTCTGTCAGTGAATGCCTTATTTAAAGGACCCAAGGGAGGTGGGACAGAAGCAAATTGTGTCTGATACTTAGTCCTGACAACATGACTGTGTTTTAAGATGACGTTACAACTGAAACTGAAAGAGACTTAAAAGTGTGAAAAAGCTGCAAACTATTGTCTCTTGGTTCTGGCAATTCTGAGGGGATTTTTCCATTTATATCAGTTCTGTCGGGGATATGAGCAAATCCAAGCCCTATTCCAGATTTCACTGTGATTGAGTTTTGCTGTCTGTGTTCAAAGATCTTCCCCAGAAGCAGTCTCTGTTTATGTAACTCTTGCAATGGGTGGATGGGCTCAAGACAGAGTTTTGATCCAAACATAAAATCTTCAAAAGTTTGCAGCCTGAGGGATTTTCTGAGAAGATATTTGTTCAAACTTATCTTTGTTCAGATGATCTCATCCTTGGCTCACCTGTTTCTGTTTCTCATATGACACAGAAATAATTCTGTAGCATTTATGATTTTGATCTTTGCTACCCTGCTTTGGGGTGTTAATGCTACTTTATAATTTTCCTACTGTAATTATTCATGTTGAGTAATAGCACATGTCTATTTACCATTTTTCTCCTAATGGTACTTCTTATCATCATGTTATCTGCAAGAATAATTTCTCTCTGAGTAAACCCGGTGGCCCCACATAACTTCTCCTTGGCGCTCCGCTAGCCCTCGAGAGAGAAGTGAACCACTGTGTTGACGTTGTCAGCATAAGGTTCTTCAAAAATTTGAGTGCTACAAGTTTTCAAAAAGTTTGCAGCCTTTTCCTCCCCCAGTGCCCTAGCTGGTGTTGGCAGCATTTTTGGAATGTCTTGAAACAATAGAAAACAGCTTGCATGCCTCTTGACTGACATTTTTTGGTCAGGCACTTTTCAAAACAGCCGCTTTCTTAACTAATTGAGCGTCGATGTTTGTCATGTTTGCATGCTGATAGCAGGCTACTTTTTGGTAACAAGGCATAGATCAGAAGCTCATTAAGCCAATATGTTATGCCAAATTAGCAATGCAGTTCAAATCTGAGCCTCTCTTAATACTTCCTGTAATTTTGTCTAACATTTATGAACCCTTCGGTACGTCTTTAACCTTTTTTTTTCTCCTTCCTTCTTTTCAGAATCCTAATTGTTCAATGCCTTTTTCTTTTCTTCCTTTGAAGCCTCCTTCCCTGCCTTTCTCTTATTGTTTTTCTTTGTTTTCATTTTGTTCTGCCCCCCGATTCCCTGCTGCTGCAGAGCTGCTCTCTACTGCTGTGCAGCGGTTGTCATACCTGCGCACTAGCAGTCTCAGCTCCGCTCACCATGACTCCCGCCCCAACTCCCCCTTCCGACACCACTTCATCCCCCATGTCAAAGGTAAGGAGCCAGGCCTCCCCAGGGAGTACCTTCCAGGCTGGAGATTTATTAGCGTTCTGGCAAAGCTAATAAGGTGTATCTCCGTAAGGTTGCCATTGGCTGTACAGCTCAGCATGCCTCGAAATGTGCCGTTACACTTAAAACTATATTAGAATAGACATAACCTCCTTTTTTTGGAGGAAATATGTCATTTCTAAGGGCCCTAGTTGAAGAGTCATCGAGCATTTACCTATCAGAAATATACAGGAACACATTTTCATTTACTGTTTCGAATGGGTATGTGCCTAATCTATCTCCTTGCTAAAGCAGTACATAATGATCACTACAGCAGTTAGCATATACAATTTAATTCTTATTTTCGCATTCTTAAAACGTGGATTTAAAAATTGACTACAAATATTGCCTGGATGAGAGGAAGGTGATCAAAAATATGGAGCAGAAAAAAAAAATTACATAAAGATCAGTGGCAACAAGGAAGTTAATAATTATTGATCACATTGGCAATAATTAGTACCCAACAAAGTAAAATTAAAATCTCTAGGCCTCTCCTCAACTAGTGAGAATCAGCAGACTCTGCTGAAGATGGTAGAGTTGCAGGGATTTACACTACCTGAGGATCTGGTCATTTCTCTTTTTTTTCAATCCATTATTTTCCATGGTTTGATTTGAGGGAGGGTTGTTCTTTCATTGTGTCCCTTCAAGGAGCTCATTCAGCTCAATAAGCTTATAGTTTTGTCTCTTGCTTTCTGTGAATGTGGTTTTACTTTTATTTCTATTAGAGCACTCTCTGGCTGTGCCATCTCTTCTGGTGGGGGAGAAGGTCATAGCTTAGATCACCTAAAAAAGCTCAAAAAGAGGTGGTTGAGTAAGCGGAACATGGATTCTATTCTGGCACCACTGATTAATGTAGGTAATCATAAACTGGAGATAATAAGAAGCAGTTGCAAGGAAGTTGTTGCCATGAACTTTCAAGAAATGCTAATAGACCTCAATGTTAGAGCTCCTCAAGCATTCAGATCACCATTAATAATTTTACTCTCGTATTTTCTTAATTATTTTTATTAATATGCGTTTTCAACTTTCCTATGATGTCACTATTAAAAAAAAAAACCTCACTTCAAACTTAAAAGCTTGGGACCCTTAAAAATAGATATACTGCTCATTTCAGCATGCAGTTAATTCATAATCTGCAATTTCAACATTTCTTTGCTGTAAATCCAAATTCAAGCTCAAAAAAAAGTGGCATTTTCATTCTTTTTCTGTTGAGAAAATAGCTTCTTCAACAGATAAATCAGAAGAACTATTGGAAATCCATGGCTATTGTTTTTAGATTTTAAAGAATTACCTGGTGCGTAGATTAGGTATGTATCTCAGTTATTAGTATAAGAGGCCAAGTGGGGTTACAAGCACCGTAGACAAAGGTGTGGGTATGGTTGTTTTCAGATATGTCACTTAAGACATTGTAAGAATCTACAATTTTATGAAAATTTTACGTAAAGGTCTTAAAGGCCAGGATTTATGTGTTGTAACTCAGCAAAGCTCTTGAAAGCTTAAGTGTGTACTGCTGTGAGAGCGTACACCATCGGAGGACGTGGTACATTTGAGAAGGGGCAAATAGCAAGTACCCACATCTTGTAATTCCGATGGCTGGATTGCGAGAGTAGTCTTTTAATAGTTGGCTGAGAGAAAGAAGCACCTTCCTAAGGTGACCTAAGTTTTGTGCCTAGGTTAATACGCTGGGAATATCTGCATAGTTCTCATTTCTTTTTGTTTTCTCTCCCTGTGGAGGAAGGTGACTACTCAAAAAACCCCCCAAAATACACTTTTTTCAGTTGAACACTGCGGACTGAGTTCTCTCAGAGCATTGAGCCAAGCTCAGACATTTATAAAATGTAGACAGATAAAGTAATTTGCGGTATTTTTGGTTATGATCTGGAAGAAAACATGAAATAGTATTACAGAGTTCCCTGATAACATGCAGACTGGAAGAGCAGTAATAAATAAAGGACATGAGCAACAGTTTTCTCAGTGAACAGTCTAGCCAAACGTAACCCATGCTTCTGTTCATCTGCACATTCTGGGAAGAGCAGTGACTCTGAAAAGGATTTGGCTGTTCAGGGAACGTTAGGATGGATGGATAGGACAGCAGAAAGAGATGCTGCAGCTAAAAGAGCTAAGTAGAGATGTTAAGTACTTGAATAAGATCTACAGGGAATTGAATTGGTAGGTCCACAGTCCCAGCAGGATGGGTGACATAAGAAACACTGCAGAAGGTTGAGGAGGACCATCAAATAATTCCAAATCTCACAATGAAAAAGTTATGGCTGTTAGTGTATTAACACTATCAAATGGGAGGATTTGGTAGCAATTTGTTCAGTGTCTGTGTACCTGTCTGGTAACAGAAGGTTGTCCCATATAGCAGGCAAAGATACAATAAGATCTTATGTTACACTTAGAGAAATAACAACAATTTTTATCTTATTTAACTTGTTTAAGGTGAAGATAAGTAGCTATTGAAACAGCTTAGGAAAAGTTTTTGTCTTCCCATTACTACAAAATACTGAAAGGTACAAAAGGTCAAAAGGCCTGAAGACCTTTGTAATTTTTCCCATTTGTTAAGTGA